ATCTAATCTCTGAAAAGCAAAAACATAAACATAATTAAAATTAGTTGGCCTTGCAACATCTATTGACCCAAATCTATGGTAACATCCCAACCTCCGTCTTCCTATAACAAGACCCCAAAAAGCAGCACACCCTACAGTCCAAAAAACAGTAAGGATTAGGAGAGAGAAAATCGAGCAAATTATGATGAATAGCCAACTCCTGTATCCAGAACACCCAGCATTACAAAATGAATGGGCCCTGGAAGATATCCGCTCAACATTTGTGAAGTGCACCAGATGGCAACTAGAAGACACCATGGATCCAATCAACTGCCCTTATCATTACTTCTGTGACAGCTCTTACCCAGGAAATTATCCACCCACTGTCGATATTCTTGTAGCTGTCTTCACAACAGCTTCCTACTTCGCTACCTTAATCTTCATGGTGATGGAGGTATATAGCAGGGGAAACACGCGACCTTCTCGTGTTCAACTACGAAGATACTTGCTACCATCCGGTCCAGTATCCCTCCCGATTTTCCTTTTGGCTTTCGCCAAGGGCCAAAGGATAAACACAATATTTCCCTTCACATGCATCGGTCCAGCCATCCTCCAACTGATTCACATATCTGCTCTTGCCTTTGATGACATTGCTGACAAGGACATCAAGTATGCATTTTTAAAAGCATCAACAATCTCCGGAATCATGCATGCAAGCTTGTACCTGGATTCAACTATAGTGCCTTACTATACAGGTTTTGATGCCCTAGTTTCATCAACCCTTTCTGGTGAGTGTATATCTTGTGTATGTCGAAAAGAGGTCTTGGTTGTGGGAGGGAAGTTGGTCTCCTACAGGGGGTGGTCAAAAACTACCTTTCTTGTCATAAGTACCCTCTGTTTAAGGATGATATGCAGACTATCCCCAGAAAACAAAGGTAAAATCAGATTAACTAAGTCCATGTTGGAGAATTTTAGTTGCATCTTGATAACCATGGACTGTCTGCGTCTGGTAACAAAATCGCCTCCTGAAAGATACCTATTACGCAGTGCTGCATTTGCAGGTTTATTTGTCTTAATTTTTCTCCATGTACTCAAAAAGGCATGCACCCAGCTTACACAATGGCATTCAAGGTGCAAAAGTTGAGACAGGAACAAGATCCATCACAAACAGGAAAGAAAAATTACAACAATACTGGGAAGAAAGAGATATCTGCAAAAATTTCCATTATTCTTTATGGTGAATATGAAATGGATCAAAGGCAGTTTTCTCTAACATCATACCCCAACCCAAGAGAAGGGTACAAATTTGAAGCCAGACTTTTTGTTACAGGGTACCAACATTTTCATTATCACCTTAACAGGGCTTCCATTCAGGGGCCAATAAGCTTGATAGTGATACAACAAAGCATCTCACAAGAAAAATCTCCTTCGACTAGTGTCCATTTCCGGCTGGCATCAAGGGGGGAGGAGGAAAAAAGCAAAGAACAAATAAGATAGATGCACTAAATACAAATACTGCTAAATTAGAGAAGCAAGACATAAAAGCTTTATATAGTCGAGACACAACCACAATATGGGTCCTTGATAAATTACCTTGTGAACCCACTCATATTCCCCGCCTTTTGTATCAAATGTCCCTTGTTGCAGACTGATTAACTTCAGCGTGAAACGAGGACCACATTCCTGCAAGTACAGAATCAAGAATTTGTTTCAAGATAACATTCATAAAACACAAGTTTCTGGACAAAAATTTCAAAAACACTAACAACATTGACCCAACCCTACACGGCACCACTGAAGTAATGAATACTTTCACCGAGTTTCAGCAAAAAGTTTTAGAATTATCACCATTAGAAACTATGGAAGCAGGGATGGACCAAGTTATGCTAGAGGGTCAATGTAAATATTTTGAAAAGATATATAGAGAGCAGCCTATGTAATTTTCTTTTTTTTTTTTTTTGGTGGTGTTGTTAAGTTGGTTTGGGATTTTTAGAACTAACCTAGAACAATAAGAGAGGTTTTCCAATTTTTTTGGGGGAAACTTCACCTTATCCCCTTGTGGTTAGATTGCCACTTTGCACATCACCCACCTCACCTTTGGAAAATGGCAACATAATTCTCATGTGATTTGTGGACCCAAATGTACCATTAACAACTCCTACGAAATGACCTTTATATCCTCTCCCCTCTTCTTCTTCTTCTCTTCTTTTGAGGAGATAATACTACACCTCTCTCTATGACCACTCCCCACTCCCCCCAAAAAAAAAATCTGGATAAGCTTCCCCCTTCCAATCTGGAGCCAAATATTGTCTAGGCAACAATTAGTCTGATCAATTGCGAGTAAATTGAACATTATATATATGTTGACCATTATGAAGAAGGATATAGTATAACAAGTTTTATGTTCTTCACTCCACCTACTGACCTAGTTTGTCCTTATCAATTCAAGCATTTCATGAATCAAGTAGCCAGAAGAGGAAGAGGTCTGGATGAAAAGGGTTCCAACAGATTGCAAAAATTCACATTATATAAAACCAAGGTGCTCAAAAAACAAAATTAGAGAGAAAATAAGTAAAATACAAACCTGAAGCCGAGCAACTGTTTTCTCCTGAGCACTCTTTTCATCCATAGTATCCTTGCCTTTTGTAGCTTTTGAGTCACTCTGTTTACTCTCTTTGCTTTCAAAAATATAACTGCACACAAAATAACAAAATGAAACCATCAGAAAGATCATCCCTAATAAATGTAAAAATGTTTAAAATAGAGCAACCTGTAAGTATAATTGATACACACCGATGATGGCGGAAAAATATAAAATCTCGCTGATTGTGGAAGGTTACAACTTGCCGACCACGAAAATTTGGATCTTGTGGGAAAAGTGATTGTATCAGCCTACATTAGAAAACATATAAACATACAACTGTTAGAAAGTGAGAAAGAGGAGGGAGAGAGGAAGAGGGACAAGAGATGATAACAATAATCAATAGAGATTTTTCATTTTAACAACATTTCCATGTTGTGAAAAAAATAGAAAAATGCAATCCTTTCAAATGGAATTCCATAACCAGTAAAGCATGATTGTATTTGCTGCGCTTAAAATATTTCTAATGCGATCCTTCCAAGTGGAATTCCACAACCAATAAAGCACGATTGTAGCCTCTACATTAAACGAAGAAAAAGAAAGCAACCTCCCAATCCGATGGCCCAAACGTGTTGTGAAGTTAGTTAACACTAGCTCAGGCTGGTGACTAGTTGGATTTCCATGATTCTGCAGTGTGCATAAAAACAATTAATGGTACGTATATCTTATACACATTTCAGACAAAATATGACACATTAACAAATCTAAACATCAAGTTGAATGAAAAATTTCATGTTAAATCCTACCTCACATACCAAAACATGACATTTCTATAATGTTCATACCTTAGAATCGTAAATGGTTAAGGTCTACTGAATTGTGTATATTTGTGTAACAGGGAACCCCAAGTGATTCAAGGTACTAGGTCATCATAAATCATATATAAGTAAAAGTGAGTGCCTCAGGAAATAAAAAATAGTCATTAGAGGTTGTAATTTGATCAAATATTTATTTGCAAATAATTAGTGTTACTAATTGATGGTAAATGTTTGATATAATAGGACACTTGCTGATGCACTATAAAAAACATAATAACAATCCTCCAACACAGATAAAAAGGGAAACAACTAGTCATATTTATTCACATCCACCTTTGGTGAAATTTTGTGTGCACAGTAGCTTGCCTTGGAGTTAGAATGCAAGAAGTTTGTATTCTGAAAGAAGATGAAGGAAATACAGCAACAGACCTTAATATCCTTCCGCAAAACAAGCTTTGAGAGCTTAAAATGGGCAGTAGGTCCATCAGGTAAGCCTATAACAAGGAGAGCATCTACAAGACAACCACCAAAGTTGGCAACCTTTTGAGGAGGATACATAAACGGAATAACTCAAAAGGAATAAATATATAGAGCATCTGCTTTCAATAGAATATACAATTCTAATCAAAGTAAAGAGGCCAGGAAAAGGACTTAGAGAACTAACCGGGTTCACGGCGGTTGGTGTGGACAACTATAATGGAAGTAAAGTCCTTGTTTGTCGCATATTCCACAATCTGCAGAAGCACCAAGTTACCAGACTATCTTAAACATGAAAACAGTTTGTGATTTTAAATTTGCACCTACTATCTTAAAACTATTTGTTATCCCAAAAATTAAAAGAATTAAAAAAAGGAAAAACAAATAGAAGAAAAGATGAGGAAGAAGAATGTAACCAGCACCTTTTTCAAGTCATAAGTTCCTCTCTTGTAGTAATGAGCATTTGGGATCACAGAGAGTAGTTCCGATATAAAAGCTGGTCCTCTCTGCAGGTAATGAGATATACAAAACCAACACCGATCGCAACAAATATCTTGCATAAGAAATTACAGTCATAAATCACAAAGAATGCCATTAAACATTAGAGTAGATAAAGACTGCAAATATCTCTTTCATGCTAAGTTTATTGCCTCTACTCCCACAAATAAAAGAAAACTTGAGAGGAAAGCATACCGTAGAATTGAAGCGGCAAGTAGTGATCAATATCTTCGAAGTGCTTTCATGCTTTAAAATTGAGCTAAATTCATCTCCATCGTTACCAGCAAAAAGCTGCAAATTAATGGTGAATACGCACGCAAGTGAATGGGAATTCAGCTAGAAACAGAGGTATTGTACCATTGCTTATACAAGGAACATTGATTACATGACATGGGATGAAAAATAATCTAACATTATGGAGAAAAAAAGCCCAAAAAACCATTGATTCTATGACATGGGATGAAAAATAATCTAACATTATGGAAAAAAAAAGCCAAAAAATTCTTGAACAACGTAGGTGCCAAAGAATGGTTCAATCTGATTACTTCAGCAGCTAACATATCATTACATATATACATCCTTGTGCTGTTTTTGTGAATGTGTGTGTGTGTGAGAGAGAGAGAGAGAGATGGGGGAAGAGGGAGGCAATTTTGATAGTAAAGAGAACCTCTTCATCATCAGGCTTGCAAATAGTCTCATCAAACTCCCTGGTATTCTCAATTGTGCGAGGGATCTTCCTTGGTGGAGGCTGCACCAAAAACAAAATGAGACAAACTTCAATAAATTCAATTGGAGGCAACACTTTATGCTTGAAAAATTCCAACTCTATTTCACGTTCTGCGCATGTTCGTAAGTAAGTAATTTACGGGAACAAAGTGGAAGAATCCAAACCTCCTCTCCAATCTCAAGAGCTCTCTTCTCGTCAGCTTCACGAGCCTTAGCCTTCTTGCGCTTCTCGAGCTTCTTCTGGTGCTTTAGCTGGGCGTGGACAGCCGATCTCTTCTCTTTGTTCTTTATCATCGACGGAAGCAAGTGCTCCTTACCATTACTCTTCTTCTCAGTACTATTACTATCTTCTTTTCCGCATGGGACGATCATATCACCGGTATTGCTCTTCTTTCGCTTAACCGCCATTGCCCCTCTCTCTCAATCTCTCCCTCTCCCAGCGCCGGCCCTAGACATAGGCCATTAACGCCATCGGTCCACCGCCTAGGACTCAATTTAATAAAAAATTTCAAACAAAAATTTAGGAAAACTTACACTCAGACCCCTAAAATTATCGATTAATCATTTAGATCACAAATTTCTTAAAATTTATACATGCGTAACACTTAGATCCGTGTACTGTTAAAATATTCGTTAATAAATTACACTCAAATCTCCTAAAATTTATATACATGTAATATTTAGAATTTTTAAATTTAAAATGTTATATTTACATAAAAAATACTTCAATCAAAGATAGAATATCAAATATTATAAATTTTACAACTAAAATTTATATTTTATTATATCATTTTATTGATATAAAAATTAAAATTTTCTTATATGATTTTTAAAGAAAATTTAGATTTTTATTATTAATTTTATATCAATAAATGATATAATAAAACATGAATTTTTGTTGTAAAATTTAAAATATTTAATATTTTACATTTGATTGAAATATTTTTTGTCTAAATATAACATTTTAAACTTAAAGGGTCTAAATATTATACATCTATAAATTTCAGGGGGTCTAATTATAATCTATTAATTAATATTATAAAAATCAAGATTTTAAGAGTTACGTACATACAAATCTTAAAGAATTTGTGTGTAATATTTTAAATATCAAGGATTTAAGTGATTAAGTGACAAATCTCAAAAACTGTTAATATAATTCTCCCATATTTCTAACATCATCTATTTTGAAATTTGAAATTTGAATTATATTATCAGTATCTTTGATATCAAACGTATCTTCTTTAACCATCTGTCGTTATCGATTTTTTTCTTTTTCAACTAGTTTTCATGTTTTTTCTTCTCCAATACACCATTGATCTGATTATATATCAGGTTCAAAATTTCAAACTACAAATCAAATATTAGGTTCAAAATTATGCTTTCATTTATTTTTTTTGACCTAATATTTGTGCTACTTAATGTGTTAGTCAATCACTCATTTTTTTCATAATATCATTACGATATGGTATAATTTTTTTATGCAATATATGTTTTGTACAATAAATTTTTTGATCAAAATAAAAGATAACTCAAATGATACAACACTCTATGAAAATAACATAGAACTGATATTAACTAAAAAATATAGGATATGTGACTTCAAAGTGTTTCAACTAAGTGTTCATTAAAATTGTGACTATATTAAGTGACTTCATATAGTGAATAGATAATGTCACACTATAAATTTATATGCCAAAATAAGCAAAAACTATAACAACACAGGATTAGTACAGCAAACAATGCTCTATAACAACAACATAGATTGATAGTGGATCAATATATAGGGTGTGTGACTACAACTTGTATTAACAAAGTATTCATTGAAGGCGTAAACATAAAAAGGAATATTTTTTAAAGTGGATAGATATTGTGGTATCACTGTGTTACTTCTTTTTTTTCTCTCTCTCTCACACACACATACATATGTAGATCCCCTCAATCTCTATCCCCCTTATGTTAATCCCTCACCCCCCCCCACAAAGCTCTTCCCTTCCTGGAATCCCTTAGATCTCCTCTTTCTGCGTAACCCCTCACCCCTACCCCCGTCTGCAAAACCGACCCACCAACCCCCACCAAAAAAACCTACCAACAGATTCACAAAAACACATGCACACACAAAACACTCTCTCTCACACACACACACATAAAAAAACACTAGCACACACCAAAAAACCCACCCACGCACTCAGAAAAACACATGCACGCACAAAACACACACTCACACTCACACACACACGTAGCAGAACACTCGCACACATAAACACATAACACACCCAAACACCTCACCCTTACCTTTACCCCAAACCCTTTGCTTTTCTGTCAATACACACACATATCTTTGATTCTGAGAATTTGGTTAGAGTTGGTTCAATTTGAATTCGGTTTGATTAGATTCAATTTTAAAAGGATATGTGCATGTGTGCTTTGGATCTATGCTTTAATAGAGTCTAGCACAAGCCATGAATATAAGACCTTTTGTCTTCCAAGGAGCCTGACTGGTTTTTACACTTTTTGAGTGGGAAAATCTGTAGAAAATATTGAGAGGGACAACTTTTTTTGTGAGAGAAAAAGTGGAAGACAACAGCCCATTTCTTACTCTTGTTCAAGGCTCATTTCTACTCCGATCGAGATGAAATTTTAGGGCCATATTCCTCTTTTCCACAGTTGGCTTCTATTGATTCGGGTCGTCAATCAGACTCTTCTACAACTAGTTTTTGATGATACAATTTCAGCCACTTTGGTGAGGTCTTTATAGTTGTTTTGTGTTGAAATCCACCTAAGGGTGAAGTTTTTATGTTTGGGAGCCAAGGAACTATTTTTCTCTTAATATTTGATATCTCTAGTTGTGACTAGAAGACTTGTAATCCTACTTTCGTTGACAGTGGAGAGATTGGACCAAGTTTGGTCCCGTGGTTTTTCCCTTCTCCTTAAAGGGTTTCCACGTTAAAAATTCTTGTGTTTCTTGTTGTTGGTTTGGTTTGCTTATTGTGCTTGATTGTGGTTTGGTTATTCGCTATTGATTTGCACATAGAGGGAAAGTCACTAGTTTTTCCAAAAAGTGGTATCAAAGCACGGGTTGGCTTCAATTTATTTCATTTATAATTCATGGAAGGTAATGTAGGGCATATGGTTAGCTTCAAAGAACCAATTGGGTGGCTTGGAAGATCTCTTGTATTGAAAAGATCTTTATGGACTCATAAAAGGTGAAAAAGGCTGACCCCTTGGTATGTTAGATGGTGAGTGGACCAAGCTTAATCGAAAGGCCGTCGGGTTTATTTGTCAATGGATTGATGATAGTGTTTTCCACCATGTCTCTATCGAAGATTCAACACACTCTCTTTGGCAAAAATTAGAGAGTCTTTATGAGAGAAAAACGGTAGTTAACAAGGCTTTTTTGTATCGAAAGCTTGTTAATTTAAAGTATAAAGAGGGCAACTCCATTACGGAAACATTTGAATGAAATGAAAAGCATTGAAAATCAACTTTCCTCCATGAAGATTCTTTTTGATGATGAGTTGCAAGCTTTGTTGCTTCTTAGTTCCTTGTCGGAAAGTTGGGAGACCTTGGTAGTGATGGTTAGTAACTCTGCCCCCGATGGAATTGTCACTATGAGTCAATTGACTAGTAGCATGCTAAATGAAGAGACAAGAAGGAAGTCATCCGGTTCTTCTCATTTTGAAGCACTTGTCATGGAGAAGCGGGGAAGAAGTAAAAGTAGAACACCTCACAACCATGATAAATCATTAGGAGCTTCAAGTTTAAGAAAAAATAAAGAGTGTCATTATTGCCACAAGAAATGACATATAAAGAAAGAGTGTAGAAAACTAAAGAGGGATCAAAAGAAAGAAAAAAGGTGTGAAAAGAAGCAAGAAGACACTTTGCAATCACTTCCGATGGTGACATCATTGTTGTGTGCGATGATGGTTGTGTTAATTTCATGTGTCAAGAAAGTAGTTGGGTGATTGATTCTGGCGCTTCATTTCATGTTACTTCACGGGCTAATTTCTTCACATCTTACACTCAAGGAGATTTTGGATTTGTTCGGATGGGTAATGAGGGCTTATCTAAAATCATAGGTGTTGGAAATATTTGCTTGGAGACAAATATTGATTACAAGTTGCTACTTAAAGATGTGAGGCATGTCCCAAACATTCGGGTTAATTTGATCTCCACGGGGAAGCTTGATGATGAAGACTACAACAACCACTTCGATGATGGAAAATAGAAGCTTTCTAAAGGTTCTTTGGTTATGGCTAAAAGGAAGAAAAAATCTACTCTTTACTCAATGGAAGCAAAAATCAACAAGAGTAAAGTTAATGCACTTGAGAATGATTCCTCCACTGAGCTATGGCATAAACGACTCGGGCATATGAGTGAAAAGGGATTGCAAATTTTGTCCAAGAAGCAGCTCCTACCGGAAATGAAGGGTACACCTCTCAAAACATGTGTTTACTGCTTAGCCGGTGAACAACATCGAGTTATTTTTCGTAAGAACTTTGCATCTAGAAAGACCAATGTTTTGGATTTGATATATTCGAATGTGTGTGGTCCTATGAAAGCTAGAACGCTTGGTGGTGCACTCTACTTTGTTACCTTTATCAATGACCATTCAGAAAGGTGTGGACATATGCATTGAAGAGCAAAGATCAAGTGCTAGATGTGTTTAAACATTTTCATGTCAAGGTGTAAAGAGAAATGGGGAGGAACTTGAAATGCTCGGATAATGGTGGTGAGTACCTAGGACCATTTGATGGTTATTGTGATACTCATGGGATTAGACATGAAAGGACTGTTCGCAAGACTCCTCAACAAAATGGAGTTGTCGAGATGATGAATCGCAGTATTGTTGAAAGGATTAGGTGTATACTTTCACATGCTAAGCTACCTAGATCTTTTTGGGGGTGAGGCAATGCGACCAACAGTTGACTTAATTAATCTTTCTCCTTCGGTTCTTCTACATGGTGAAGTGCCCGAAAAAGTTTAAAAAGGTAAAGACGTTTCATATGCACACTTGAAAGTTTTTGGTTGCAGGGCATTCATTCACATACCTAAAGATGAGTGGTCTAAACTTGATTCTAAGGCAAAAAAATGCATATTTCTTGGATATGCACATGAGGAATTTGGGTATAGATTGTGGGATCCGGCCGACAAGAAACTTGTTAGAAGTAGGGATGTTGTCTTTCTTGAAGATCAAAAAATTGAAGACTTGGAAAAGGTTGAGCAGCCTAAGACTTATATTGATGATCTTATTGAAGAATGATGAAAAGATCTCTAAACCAAAGTACAAAGCACGGCTTGTTGTCAAAGGCTTTGAGCAGAAAAAAGGAGTGGACTTTGATGAGATTTTCTCACCCGTGGTGAAGATATCATCCATTAGAGTTGTTCTTGGCATGACTGCAAGTATGGACTTGGAAATTGAGTAACTTGATGTTAAGACAGCCTTTCTTCATGGAGATTTAAATGA